CCTGTAACACAGGGCTTGCAAAATCGCTAGCCCGACGTCCCGGGGCTAGCGATTTTTCCAGTCGGGCTACCAAAATCTATCTCTGCCCTGCCCGTCGGGCTATTGTAGGAAGGAAAAATATATGTCAATGCTTTTGCATTCTTTCGGAAATGTAGCTGGGTAATTATGTCATTGGCATCGGTGAGCCACTGTCAATATGTGACATATTGAAATCGCGTTTGAATTTGCGCTTGTTTTTTGCTTTCACTTTGCAAATGTCCAGGTGCCTTCTTTTGGCGCACCGGCCGGTCACGACCGGCGGGGGGAAAGTCACTCGGGTCAGAACATGGGGTGCCACCATCATCCCACTTCTGACACCAATGTGGCGAGCTCAGACAAGGAGGAGACGGAGGTGTCGTTTGGTCTTGCTTCCCGTGAGCTAGCCAGGGAGCACAGCCGTTTATTGACATCTGCAGAAGAACACTGCCGCTAGCTAACTGCTCAGCGCGGCAACCGCACAGCAACAACAACAACAACACACAGGGCGCCCTCTGACCCCGGAAGGACACACCGTCGCAGCGAGAGGGCGTCACTCGTCACTATGGCAACATAAACAAAACATAACTGTACAAACAGAACCCCGAACAGCCCTGACCCGCTACAATATGCTGCTGAGAATATAGCCCAGAAGAAGCGTATAGTATAGCTTTTATTTTGGAAAGAGCCATTTCTCTGTAATAAACTCTCTTTTCCAAAGATGAGTGATTCCTCAATCAGATTATTTTTTTTAATTACTTTTGTTTCAGCAACATTAAATTTAAAAACTGTACTTTTGAGTTAAAATATATATTTATAATTTTAATAAATGACAAATTAAAAAGGCATGAACATTTTTTTGTATCGAAAAAATATCGAACCATGACACCAAAGTATCGAACCGAACCGAACCGTGAATTTTGTGTATCGTTGCACCCCTACTAAATGGCTCTGAAAAAAAATATATATGTCAGTCTTTAATCCCAGCACTGACAGATAAGAGTGCCACTGGTTCAGTCACTTCAAAGTATTCTTGTGCATTCACAGAATTATCAGATATTAGAGTACAAAGACACTTTAATGTGTCCATGGCAGAAAATTCCTGGCTTAACTATTTCTAGCTATCAACATTGTTTCTGCTTTCACATTTCAGTAATGGAGGACTCGATCCATGGTCATCTGGTGGAGTGACTTCCAACATCTCACATTCTCTGGTTTCCATTATGATTCCCGATGGAGCCCACCACTTAGACCTCCGCTACAGCAATGACCTTGATCCACCTTCAGTCCGTGCTGCCCGGGCGTTAGAGGTGAAGTATTTTCAGGAGTGGATCAAGAAGGCTAAAAAGGCACATAGAGCTGCACCAACCGGCTAGTCTCCAAAAGCAGCACAGTTCTGCCCAACGAGGATATTCATGATGTCCAAGATTTAGCTTTAAATTGTGCGACACGTTTTTGATTGTTTTGTGGGGTATTTTCTCGGTGCTTTATCTATCACGATGCCAAAGTTTGTTTTTTCTCTGACCAATTTAGAAACACTCCGCTTCTTTGGGTCAAACATTAAAATCTGAAGGGCTTGATGACAAAATGTACTGATGTTGCTGCAAAAACAATTGACCTGTTTGTCATGTACAAACTGTTGAAAATAAAGCTGCAGGGTAAATACATTTTGGTTCTTTATTTCTGCAATCGCATTAACATCCTAATCATCAGAAAGCTGCATCATTCTCATTTTGTCTTTCATGTAAAGTTTTCTAAAAATAATTTCCTCTTTTGGAATTTATTGCAAGTTTATTGCAAATTTAGAGTTTCTGTTTTTTTGTTTTTTTTTGTCACGCTTGTCAGTTAGCCATGGTTATTATTCAGGCATCTCTTAAAGTTATTGTAATATGCAGATTAAAAAGTCTCAGAGGAAAATTTTGGCACCAAATACAAAGGCAATGCATTTTTGAAGGCTTTCACTGCACTTGGTGTAATATGAAGCTTAATCTGTTTGCTGTTCACAGGAGGACACTGCCTTCCATGCATTTTATCATTTTCTCAATACGCTTGAATTCCCAAATAACACTGCTTCTAATGAAACCGATTAAAAAGCTCCAGGTTTACTGTCGTCTAAGCCTTCATATTATGTTTTGAGCACTTACAGATGTGCTGTTGCCGAGCACACCCTTTGTCATATTTTAGATAGACTGGGGACTTTAACTTTCATTTCCAGCTCTCAAGAACAATTGCACGTGCTTGAGATTTAATAAAAACCCAATCGGAGGAGGCCAATAAAGTGAGTGGTGGGAGATTATTGCAGTTTTGCCTGCTGACCTTACCCCTGCAGACCAACCTGTGGGATTCCCCTCGACACGCATTAATTCACTGGCTGCCATTAAAGCACTAAATTGTGGCACCAAGGCAGCCTGTAGACTCTGGTTTGTCCCCCCTGCAAGTAATATTATTAATACAATTCCTGTGGTGCCAGAGTAGTTAAGAAAGGTTGATGGAAGGTTAAGAGTGAGGCGGTGAGTAGTTGCAGGAATCAGTTGGGATCCCAAGAAGCTTTCTGTAGTTCTGTGAACTGGCTTTTTACTTTCTTCTTTTTTTAAAATGTCAAGATAAAAGACTCAAATGTCATGAAAGAACTAAGACTAAACTCCACCGCTGCTAATGAAAACATGTCATCCTGCTTTGTAATTTTCTTTGAACTACTCTCTCCAATACTTTTTTTTAAACCTCTTCTTTTAAAGCAGAAGCCCCTGACATGACATGACCTTGTGATGCAGATGGGAAACATGTCCTGGACTGGTATGTGGGTTGATTTTCAACCAGGAGACACAAAGCCTGACTTTTCAGTGTTTTGTCACAGGCTTGACTGAATTTCAGACGCCTCGGTAGAAAGAAACATGGCTAAACATGGGGGAGGATGGGGTCTCAGCCACTAAATGCTCTCCTTAAACCTTTCTCAGGACTTTGAGGGGTCATTAATTTTGCCAGCATTTTCTACGTCTCTGACACTGGCCATCAATCAGAGCTGTTTTAAGTATTCAGTCAACCCCAAATTCTGACTATGTCCCTGCTCAGACAGGGACCACACACCAGTAGGAAGAGATTAAGCCTGTGCATGTCACATCACGTTGTAGTGAGCACCTCACTCCCTTGGGGTTGGGTGCTGCTGAATAAGTAAATTCCCAGAAGCCCAGAGGGTGTGGTGGTAATATTTAACAATATCTCAGCAATACGGAACAACTTGTGTGTTTTAGGAAATTTATCTTCCTCCCGTATTAAAGTTCAGTGGTTTAATAATTTGTCTCTAAATCTTGGTATATTAAAGGACACACACACACACACACACACACACACACACACACACACACACACACA